GGGTTTGCACTAGGGTGGACGGAGCTATGATCAACCACTAATAACTCTGCTCAAATATATCGAGCGTGATGCTCTCAGCAGTTCAGCGTTTGAATCTAGAGAGAACTATCTTATTCTGATTATCTAACATTCCGCTGAATGACTCCATCGTCAATAAGTGGCCGTCGACATATACTGCGCGCGTTAGCGTGCATAGCCAAACTGGTAACAAAATAAAATATACTTTGTCCTCCGGATAAGGCAGGAAATAATTACGGTATATTCCGTAAAAGGCTCTATTTGAGCATTATAATGAAGGAAATGGGCATTGAATATAATACAGTCGATAAAACATATGTCAGTAAAAATACTGATAACACTTACGAACCTACGCAATGCAAGAATAAATATTCATTGATACTGAGATACAAATTTCTTTGTGTTCGTAATAAGCTTAGTGTAGCTCCGAATGCGGACCTTCCCACTTCTTATGCATTTGAGAAGTTACATAAAGACCCTGCCAAATTTAGATTTATCACCGGGACTCATATCAGCAGTATTAAACCTTTAGCTCTAGAGTAGCACTCCATTTTTAAGTTTATAAAGAAGCACTCTATCAATGACACAAGTGTAATATAATATAGAAACGGAACTATCAAAGTATACTGGTCCATAAGTAATATCATTACAAGTAATGAGCTTAGTTCTTTTATCTAAGACAATTTAGAGCTATACACTGCTGATTTTATGGATATGTCTACAAATCTAAGCCACAATCTCATTATAAATATATGTTGAAACTACTCAAAATTTGCTTCAGTAATGCTACAAGACTGTGACAGCAACTACGTTTTTCATACGAATGGCACAGAATCAAAACTAACTATGGATACAATAATATTAATGAATTGTTTTTTATACGGATTCTTTATTACCAAACAGTTTCTATGTGTTTGGAAATAATATCTATAAACAGATAAGAGGTGGGCAACTTCAGTCCTCTCCTAGCGGATCTAGACTTTCAATTAGACTTTCAATAATGGAATATAATTATTTGAAAGATCAACAAAGACTCAAAAAAAAAGCTATTATACTTTTCCCATTCAGGTATTCTGTACAGGACATTGAGAAGCAATTTTCTTTGATATCCTTACTATATATAAAGCGCTCTGTCTGTCTGTCTGTCTGTCTGTCTGTCTGTTTGTTTGTTTCTTTGTACGGAAATTCGACATAACCTGAAGAAACACCTGGAGGAGTCGGATCAAGTTTGAAATGGGTTGAGCATAGGGTAATTGCAACAGAACAAGTGTGGGCCTAGCGGAGCTCTGCCCCCAAGGGGCGGCGCATGCGCCGGATTTGGGTGAGGTCGTGGGCAAATCCTTCTCATTAGGTCTCAAAACAGTCCAAACGCCGGGAAAAATGTGTAAAGGTTAGGGATAGGTCAACAATTGAATTAAAGGAAACTTACCGGCGGGGGCGGAGCGTTCTCGCAGTGGGCGATACTTTCCGCAGGGATTCATTACTTGATTCAACGAAGGCATAATCGCAGTTATCAGGTGCGCGTGGGCAAAGCATTGTCCAAGTCGAGGTGATGTTCTATCCCCACTTCTTTTTTCGATTTCTACATGTGATTTGCCAGGTGCCATCTCGAGTCTTGGATTAACATGTTTGATGTATGCTGATGATATAAATGTCTACAAGGCTGTTGAAAGTTTACAAGATCGGGATGACGTTCAAGCCGCGATTAGTGCCATTAAACGCTGGTCCTCTAAGTGGGATCTGCCGCTCTCTGGCGACAAAACTAAGGTATTATCCGTAGGGAAGTGCACGGTAAATATGAACTACAAATTGGGCGAGAAGGAACTGGAAGTTGTCACTGATGTACGTGACTTTGGCTTTAGATTCAATTATAGGCTCTCTTCCGAAAAACATTAAAAAGAAATTGTGTCTAAGGCCATGATTAGAACTTACAACCTGTTCAGAGCTATTCGCTCCACGGATGCAAAAACGCTCATACAGGCTTATAAAACGTATGTCAGGCCTATGCTTGAGTCAGGGACTACAGTTTTCATTCACTCCAAGAAAAAGGATATTTGTCGCGGAAAAAACCGCGACCTATTGATCAAAGGCCGCCGTCATGCGCGACCCAATGAATTAAAGGCTCCTGATTACCGTATCACTGAGAAATTTTGGGACTTCCTAAGTCCACACACCTCATTAATCATCGGGCGCTGTCAAGGGGTGCTCGCGCGGAGTGCGATGAAGCGAGAATTCTTTATGTTTCTCCTTTTCTTCGCGACTTAGCGAGATTTTTTACTGTAGCCCTATGTTTTCTTGTTGTAGTGCCGTTGATGTTGCCATTTTATGTAGTTAGTAATGATGTCGATATTGTTGTTTATTTGTTGTAGAAATGCCATTATTGTTATTTTGTTATGTTAACTANGAAGCTAGGTTTTTTGTTGTCATCTCGACCTCTTTAACCCATCTTGCCTCCCATGTTGTCACTCACTTATTACGGTGTTACTAATAATCTCATAATGATGCCGGTTTTGGTGCCTTGTACGATTCTCACTTATTGGTTTTTCTAATGTAGTAATGATAAAGGTTTAATTACTCAAGTTTGAGGCACAAGTCCCGCATGGCGATTATACAAAAAGGGAACAAGGCATCCGACCACAGGACAACCGTTTCAATATTCGTCTTTTAGAGAGTGTTCAGAATAGCTTCTCCCGTAAACTCGCTATGCGGTGTTCTCGTTTGGGCTATGAGTTTATTCCTGACGGGATACAACGTCGCTATTTCTTCGCTTTCGAGCCTCTTATTCCGAAGAAAGGTTAAAGACATAGTGATGACTTTCAAAGTTCTTAGCGGGAAAGTTGAGCTGGACGCCGGCAGTTTCTTTACCAAGGTCGCTTCTGGAACCAGAGGTAGCGTCATTAAAATCAAAACTCCGGTTGTTAGAACCCAGGCTCGTCACAATTACTTTTCTCACAGAGTTATATCCTTTCTCAACAGAATCCTCCAGGGAGGCAACTTGCAACTTCTTTGCGCTCACTTGACAATTTGGCCGAAAAATGCTTGGAGAGGATTCCTGCACGCTTTCAAGCTAATCTCGATCAATGACATTATTTTGGCTGTTTTCTCTTTTCTTTTAGCAACGTAATGCCTCATCATGTTTGCTATTTCTTCCTACATTCCAGTTGTTATAGTTACTTCTGTTATGACACCTGCGGGAGTTGTGTTACTGGATGTTGTAGATTGTAGCTCACGCGGAATTACTGTACGCGTCAATAAATGAAATGAAAGGCGTCGAGGCCAGGGAAGAAATAAAAAGAGTGAGCAAGGCCTTAGCGTGTGGGCATTCGTAAGCTTAGCGAAGCCCAGCCTAGGATGGGCGGTGCGTGCGTTGAGGTGAAAGCTACTTTTCAAAAATAAGTGTAACTTTGTTTGGAAACGTTTTAGAGTGTGGGAAAAAAGTGGTTGGAGGTAATGAAAAAAAGTGTGGCCAAATCTTCGCACTGAGCGGGGTTGGCATCGAAGTGGGCGGGACTCAGATCAAAATTTCATAACCCTGTACAGAAACGTTCCAGAATGCGGGGAAAAAGTGGTTAGCGGTATTGGAACAAATGGAGCTAAGACCTCAAAGTGGGCGGAGCTGGCACAGGAAAGCAGGGCTGAGACCACAAATTCATCTCTTCAAACCAAACTTTCTAGAATGCGGAGAAAATGGTTAGCAGTTAAAAGAAGGGTGGACAAGTTCTTATAGTGGGACGGTCTGCACTGAGGTGGACGGAGCTATGATCAACCACTAATAATTCCGTCTTATTCTGATAATCCAACCTTCCGCTGATTGACTCCATCGTAGATAAGCGGTCGTCGACATATAATGCACGTGTTAGCGTGCGTAGCCCAACTAGTATAAAAATACACTTGAACTCATAAAAAGCACATTTGAGTGAGAGAAATAGTAATTATTTAGAGATGAATATTATTATAACCAATGGTGAGATTATAATAGCAGCAAACTGTATAATACAACTGATGTATCCAGCTTCAATATCATCAGATTTTCTCGCTGCGGTACTGGTAACTCCAATACCAATGAAGCCTCTTTTATATATACAGAAGCACCAAGAATAGCTAATACATGTTCTCATATGGAAACGTTCACCACAAAATTAAGGGAGATGATGGAAACTCTATCAAAGATTGGATACAAAGAGAAATCGTAATTTCTATGTAGTGTAAATAGGCGCATATAATAGAATAAATTTATATGTTACAAGTTTTTCATTAAGGACAAGCTCAATAAATTCACCTATTTAATTGATGGCACTCTGAAACAGAAATATGTAGGCATCTCCAACAGTATACTTCAAATTCCTTCCTGCCCTTGCTTCAAACGATACAAACCTTTACCTGCTCTTCCACAAACCCCAAACCACTGATGAACCTCAGGAAATGGTGAAGACGGTGGTTTGTCTGGTGAAGAAGCTAAGCGAGAAATTTTCAGTTTGTATGTTTATTTTGTCTTATTGATGTATTTGCTTACTGTCTTTTTTATGCTCCACCGCTCAATTCGCTACACTTAGCTTGTGGTGGAATTATTCCTACATTTGATCAGTTCGTAAAATTCTAGTAATAAACCGAAAGTGGCTTTCTATTTGTCGTAGAATTCTCTTGCCAACCTACTATTAAATCTAGTCGCCGGTGGATGGCCTTTTCACTCGGTTTGATTCCGCTTTGCCTTTCACCTAACCTTTCACACATATTAAACTGCTCTCGATTCTTCTACACTTTTTAGTCACGTTAAGAAGATTCCATCTATAATAATTCACTCTGTACTACTTTCCTGCAGTCTGGTTCATAGTGCACTCATGAGGCGTAAACGTAACATAGGGCAATTAGACGCTGGACTCAAACTGTTCAATTGATAGGAAGTTGAAAAGTAAAAAGCACAGAAATTTGGACGTTAAAGATTTATTGTTAAAATATTATAGCTCATGTCATTGGACAGCTGCTCATAAATCGTCAGCGCAAGGTGGAACAAGCAAACTGGGTAGAGCTACGTAGCCATACGATTTCTTTATGTCTTCATTGTAGATGTTAAGAAAATCCACGTCGAATGTGCGAACACCACGGGGTAGACGGACTATGACGTCATCGCCAGAATGTCGCTCTAATGGATCATCACTGAAACTCATTGTTCAGACAGGACGAAAAAATGAATGCAACAACTGACAATTCGTATCCAATAATCCGAGCCTTTGTTTGTTGAACAGTATCCGTAACATTGCCAACGCCCACAAAAACGAAGGTGTCTGTAAAAGGCCTGTGATTGTTGTTACCTTGAATTTCGATCTAGAATTTAGTTCTCAATATCTGCATAAGCGCATGATAATATATCAGAACATTGATTGTGAACCCTAAACCGTTTGCATGGGATATATTCCTACTTATGTGTTACCAGTCGGGCCGCCCGGCTAACGTCGGGCTTCCCTCCTTCTTATGGTGTCGCCCGGCTTCGTCGGGCGCTTCTCCTTCTTGTAAAAAATTTGCAATGGGTGAATAACACTTCGGATTCTCCTTTTTCTTCGAAAGCTCTACACCCTCAGTATTGGCTCCGAATTAG